GGTGTCAGGGGTCATAGATTTTTAAAAGATACGCCAAACCTCAGAACGTCGAATTTACCGCTTGTATTCATGACCTTGTCAGCCATTCAAGTGAAGTTTATTAGTGGTAAACTCTCAGTTTGAGGTCAAAAGAACTGTCTAAAAATACTATAACATCTTCCTCCCCTTCTAGCATGTAAAAAGTGCATATTGTGACCTACAAGGGGTGTAACGATACGCAGATTTCACAATAATATTGTATTGTCTTTTTTGCCATACATGACCGTATGTTTCCAATACAGAATTCAGAAGAAATGCTAACATAAATTTCATGTTTTTTTTTGTTTAGTTTTTTTATTTTTTATTTGTTGGTAATTCTCTTTTTTTTGGTAATTCCCACTGTTGGCTACATATTAATATTAAATGAACTGTTTGGGTATAAAGTGTGGCAGTTACTTTTTGGCTGAAATGAGTGTGAGAGGAAATTTTCTAACGTGACTCCCAGCAAAGTGTGGAAACCAGGACTCTATACAACCAAATAGTGGCACAAAATCGCTATAAACTTCCTTTTGGAGTTATTTGTTGCACCCGTTCAGAATCAGTGCTTAGCGGCTGCTTGAATCCTGCGGGTAGAAGTAGCTGCTGAGACTCCACAAGGCTGAAGTTGGCTTCTTATTCAACAGCTTCTTATTACAATTTTCTTTTCCACCTTTAAATGGAGCAGCAGAAACATGTAAGTGCTGTTTTATTTAAGGTGGATTGAAAAATTTGAATAAGAAGCTGGCTAACTTTTTCTCCTCGCTCTGGTAACTGACACATTTGAGTGATGTCTTCACGAGTGAGTTGGTATATTTGAGGTGTTAACGTGGGTATCTGATGCTCAGGTTGAGCAATGTGGCCACACCGTCAGCGTTCAGTCTATCACTCTTTTCACACTCTGTTTCTTGGCTAATCAGCCATTCAAGGTAGGCAAACCATCCCTTTTTTTCCAGTTCTGAGAGCTGCGCAGTGGAATTTTTACATTTGCAGTTTTCACTTTTAGGAATATTATGGACTGTGTTAAATAGAAGTATAGAAACCATTTCTATGATCTTAGACTCTGAGCTCTGTTTTGTCCTGCATGTAAACGCAGTGACTAAAGCTTTGTATTATTTGAGAAATGTTGCTAAAGTTCTGCCTTTTCTATCTCAGAGCGACGCAAGAAAACTTGTTCATGCATTTGTTACAAGCAGAGTTGATCACTGTAATGATCTTCTTACTGGACTTCCTAAGAAAACAATACATCCTTTACAACTCATACAAAATGCATCAGCATCCTAACAAAAACTGAACAGAGAGATCAGATCAGTCCCACTTTAAAAGAACTACACTGGCTGTCTGTGTCATTTAGGATAGATTTTAAAGTTCTGCTGCTAGTTTTTAAGGCTCTGAATTACCTTAAAGCACCACTTACATCACAGAGTGTCTGTCTGTTTATGATCTTAGATCTGCAGATACTGACCTTCTACAAACACCTGTAAAATACAGAAAACATTGAGAGACTCTTTCAGTTATTCTGCTTCTAAACTGTGGAGCTCAGTTCACCTTTTATTAGACAGTCAAGCTCAGAGCTCACTTTTAAGAAGAATCTAAAAACGTATCTCTTTAACTTTGTATTTAATTAAAACTCTACGTCTCGTGGTTTTTATCTTTTAATTTGATCTGCCATTTTCTTATATGATTCTGTAAAACACTTTGAGCTGCCACCAGCATGAGAAGTGCTATGTGAATAAAAATTATTATTATTATTATTATTATTATTGTTGTTATTATTGCTGGCAGTATACATTTTATGGCATGGAATCTAACTGTATTCAGTTAGACATTGATTGATACTTATTTTTGTTGCTTTATCGCCCAGGCCTACTGGAACGCTGAGAACCAAAGAGCAGAATGATGTAATCATTTTATTGAAAATAACTGAAGCACACATTATCCATTTCCCAGAAATGTTTTAATAATTATTGTTAGTGTTTTATCTCTGAGTCTAGGGCCATGTTTTCTTTACCTAAACACTGAAGAGGGCTGGACCCTCGTATGGAGCCTATGCTTTACTCACACTTCTCCGTCTATAATAGGCTGCTCCGTTACTCCGTGGGCGGTTTCTGCGCTGTGCGAGGCTACGGGGGAGTAAGTGTTTCTATGAGCTTGTTTTGCTTTGAAGGAAAAAAGAGATGTGCTGGCCTCGGTGGTCTGCTGTGAGCAGTTGGTGAGGTGGGGAGAATGGAGAGAGACTCAGAGAGAGAGAGAGAAAGAAAGAGAGCGGAAGTCTGACATTTACAGTAATGCAATCAGCACATTACAGTGCAAAGTCACGGTCTTGGTTGATAACAGTCCCTTACACTGACCGGTTTGTCCTTATTTACAAACTCCAAATATAACTCCAGTATAACTGATTGAGTTAGCGAAGCCTTCGTGAGCATGTGAACGGGGGAATCAGGTGGATATGATTAGGGTTGGAATAAAACTCTGTGGGAGAATGACCAGGAGCATGTGCTGACCTCAGCAGCCTGCTGTTGGTGAGGTGGGGGCGAGAGACAGAGGGAGAGAGAGGGAGAGAGAAGGGAGGCCTTTGACATTCACAGTAATGCAATAAGTATTAACATTCAGACTGAGATGATGAACCCAATCACTTTTATATGTTCTCTCTACTTTTGTTTTTACTCGTTTACAACAGTTAAATGTGCAGAGGCTGGCTGCCCTTTACTCTAAGTAACAGGTTTTGCTAAACATGAGCCCTTTTTTTCCTTCTTCAACGTTACCATTTCCGATAAATGAGGCTTCATATAAGAAAGGGCCCACATTCTACAATTTTCTTGTATTTTATTTTTCCCTGAGCTCTATTTATGACATTTGTGTACTTTTATGTACCAAAACAGTCATCATTACTTTCTACATGACCATTTTCCAACCTATCTTTGTCTCTTAGGTTTAAACAGGCTTCTTTGATACTGTATCTTTAAGGCCGATATATATAAATGACCTCTGTTCTGATTGGCCTCTCTGTCCCAGATAACAAGCATATATCGGTCTGCTGGCTTGATAAGGTTGGCACCCCGCTGACTGTCTGTCACTTCTTCTCCACCCTCGGACCACCCGGATTACTGTCCTGCATGCAAGCTCTGACTAGTTTTTGATCTCCTCAAACAGATTTTAAATGCACAGAGACTTTTATTTTAGAAAAGACAAATATTACAAACAACTGAGAGAAAAAAAATACTGCCTAGTATAAAGTATAAAATAGAAAATGTTGCTGACACTGTTTTCGATTAAAATGATTTGCTAAACTAACTTATAAAGTATGAGTAAAGAAAGGAAGGAAGGAAAAATAAGTAAATTAAGTAAAAAATAAGTGAATTTTGTATAATACTCTGCTCAAAAACCGGTGGGCGGCCCGGAAAACACTGAGCAAAACACCAGTGGACCACCAGCTTTGCCCTCAGTGGACCAACAGTGGCCCACTATCCACATGCTATCAGGGGTGTTGTTCAAAAAGCGGCCCAGGTTGAAACACTCTTTACAATTTCAGTGTTGAATGCAACAGTGGATTCAAAACGGGCTGTTTTTGCAGCTGAGTTATATATGTGCTGTATAGACTGAGGAGCGAATGGTACATTTTGAAACATTAACAATGTTTACATGTTACACAGAACCCTTTTATTTAAAAGAAGTGAGTAAAATTCAGTTTAATCATGATATTGGCATTTTAACTGATGCCCAGTGTCGATATCAGGCCGATACCAGCACAAAATTGGATACTGGAGAGGAAAAAAAATCCAACCTAACTTGAAAAATCACAAAATTGCTTGTAGCACAGCATAACAAAGTACAGTAGGCCATATAATAATAACATTAGCCACATGTAGCTTAAAAATAACAGAACACCACATAGCGTAGTTTAGCAGTCCAGTTAGTTATTTTTAATTAGTCTAATTTTGTACGGTTGTTTGTGCACGTCAGCACAGTGAGTTTTTTTGTGGAAGAATTAAACTCAGAAAAAAGCTACATTTTTGTCTACGTCATCCTACAAAACTCCTCATGCTAATGCTATTGGGTACTTCTACAGCTCCTTGTGCTAATGCTGTTGTGTATTCCTACACAACTGTTAATGCTAATGCTATTGTGTGTTCCTAGGCAACATCTCCTGCTAAAACTATTGAGTAGCTCCTTGTGCTAATGCTAATGTGTATTCCTGAACAACTACACATGCCAATTTATTGTGTATTCCTACACAACTCCTCATGCTAATGCTATTGTGTATTCCTAACTCCTCGTGCTAATGCTGTCATGTATTCCTCATGCTAATGCTATTGTGTATTCCTAACTCCTCATGCTAATGCTATTGTGTATTCCTAACTCCTTATGCTGATGCTATTGTGTATTTCTACACAACTCCTCATGCTAATGCTATTGTGTATTCCTACACAACTCCGTATGCTGACACTGATGTGTATTCCTGCACAACTCCTCATGCTATTACTATTGTGTATTCCGAACTCCTTATGCTGATGATATTGTGTATTCCTACACACCTCCACATGCTAATGCTAATGTGTACTCCTACACAACTCTACACGCTAATGCTAATGTGTATTCCTACAACTCCCCATGCTAATGCTGTTGTGTATTCCAGTACAACTCCACTTGTTAATCTATTGTGTATTCCCACACAACTCCACATGCTAATGCTATTGGAAGCTGCACGCCGCTTGATGTACTCGGTAACCCCTGGCTCATGAGGGACAGTCTTGTGGCTGTGATGTGTTCTGCAGCCTCTGCTCTCCTTTTCCCCCGCACTCGTTCTTTTCATCTTTCCCACAGGACCCTCTGCAAAAGTGAAAACATGTGATGCACAATGTTGCCTTTGGCTTTTTTATCCTCTCAGATGCAGAGATTCAAAGCCTTATCTCCTGTCTCTCTTCATTTTCTCTCTTTCTCTCTCTTTTTTCTCTAACTCTGTCTCTCTCTTGTCTCTTTCTCAGTGGAGGCCGTTGTGGAGTTTGACTACCAGGCCCAGCACGATGACGAGTTGACCATCGCCGTCGGCGAAATCATCAGCAACATCAGGAAGGATGAGGGGGGCTGGTGGGAGGGCGAGGTGGACGGCCGGAGGGGCCTGTTTCCAGACAACTTTGTCAGGGTGAGATATCCCCTCTCTTGCTGACCTTTTGACCTGCGTATGACTAGTTTATGATTTTTTTTTTTTCAGGTTATGTTGTTTGGTGTATGTGGCTTTTCCATTGAAGATGCAGCTTTCCTATCCCTTGCAGTGCTCTGTATGAAATCATCTCATATTCTCGGCAGCAGCTTATAGAGGACTGAAATCACACGTTTGATTTTAGTCTGATGTTCTGGTTTCATTCTTTGGCCCAGTCATTTGACTTGATACAGAATCCAGAACGATGCTTTATTCATTAATTTTTTTAAATTTCCAAACCAAAAGTGGGTGTGGCATAAACCAGAAAGGAGTGTGAGGTAGATCTGTTATAAGCATTCCTGTAAGTAGCAGCAGGTGGTCAGAAGAGGGTGGACGCTGTTCTCTGCCAGGTACAACTAGCAGTTCCACAAACATATACTGAAGTTTGTTCATTGTGGCTTTTATTATTTGATTCATTGTGAGAAGAAAAAGTGCAGCCAGCAGTCTGTCAATGAGTGCGTTTACATGCACTCAATTATCTGATCATAATCAGATTTCTGCAGTTATCTGATTGTTCATGGTCATGTAAACAGCATACTCCGATTTCTTAGATCAGAGTAAGGTCTAGAAATCCAATTAAGAAATCCGACAAAGAGAGCTGGATTTTAGCTCAGTAATCAGATTTCTCAGTGCATGTAAACTCTTACTCTGATTTCTTTCGCATTTCTCAGTCTCAGTGCGTATGTACGAAAACAGACGGTGGTACTGGAAATAAGCGAGCGGTGTTGCTGAGACGCAGCTAAAAACGTTTGGAGCGACACTGAAACCAACTACATGCTTGGTGAAATGAAGGATTTAAATATTCTTCATCTTCTAGATGATGTTTGTTCATACTTTCAGGTAAAGTGGAACAATGTTTACAAAAAAAAAGACGCAGCATGAAGTTGGAGTTTTACGTTACGTCTACTCACAGAAGAAGACGTGATGTCAAATTAAAATACAAGGATCATATCTGCATGGCGAGCAGGCCTGTTTGCGTTAGCGACTAACAATGGAAAAATATAATTTAGCTGTGTAGTTTAGATGGAAATGCAGCTCATCTGTTCAGTGAATGGTGTTTATTTTGCTAAACCAAACAGAGCTCCCTGAAAAGCAGACGACAGCTGCTTTTAACTTTTGACTACAGGTAAATGTTCCCATATTTTTTACTTTTTTTATTCAGGCAGTACCCTCTACTTTGTTTTCTACTGTGTTTTCTCTTTTTCAGTCGTGATATAAATGGGGAGCGCAAACATCATCATGACAACTGATCGATAAGATGTGTTGTCAGCTGTTTTTTATTATTGTCATCAATAACATTGATCAGTTGTTGCAGCCCTGATATACTGGTAATAAATACTGTTAGTGTATTACAGATGTTTAAAATTTCTGTTTATCCCAGCCTGACATGGACTGCCCTGTTGTGGCTCCACAGCGGAATTAGATTTTTAGGTAAAAATAAAATAATCCTCCTTTACAGTGAAATAAAGCTCTGCTGATCATTCAACACAGTTTTAACAATAAAGGGTCTTAAATGCTGGAGTTAATGTAGAACTGCTAATTCCCCAACATTTAACCCTGAAGTTGGCGCGCAGACTGCTGGTCACCATAGCAATGCAGACAACAATCTCGTCTAGCTAATAGCTAACAAAAAGGCAAAGAGAACGATTCAAGACGAACATCGATACTTTGGTGATGAATGGACATTTATAGTCACTCCAGCTGGTTTCCTTATATGTTTAATCTGCAAGGAGAAACTGTCAAACACTAAAAAGTTTCTCATTCGTCAGCTTCTTGTTCAAATTTCCCCGTTCCACCTTAAATGGTGCAGCGGTTACATTCTGAAGCCTCAAGCACCATTTAAGGTGGAGCGGAAAAAATTGAACAAGAAGTCGCCAATGAGAAGCGACTTCAGCCTCAGCAGAAACATTTTACAAGAAAATATTCTACTTTTGAGGAAAAGTTTCCTGCCAGAGATGTGAGAAAAGCGGCTATAGTTGAGCTAAAGCTTAAAGCAGAGCAAAGTGAGTCTGCGTTTTCGTTTATATTTTTAGCTTTTACTAGGACGTCAGCACATACTGAGACATATTTACAGCCAAGATGGTAAAATGTACATAAAGTGTTGTGGCTCCCAAGGTGGCTTCATTTTTGTTGAAAGGACAAAATGGCTCTTCTTAACATTTGGGTTGTGGCACCTGAGCTAAACTATATCAGATTCTTTTCTGATTACAGAGAAATGCATTGAAATTATCGCCTGTGGTATTCAACTGAATGAGACAGATGCAGTAGATAGCGATTAGATTGAAAAAACACTGGAGTACTTCTCTGAACACTCCAGTCCTGTGTTCGCTGCTTGACTGGTTTGTATCCCAAGGCTCTGGGCCCAAAGGGCTAAATTACAGTAGGTGGGTTAGAGGCGAAGTGGCAATTTACTACCATGTATGCATCTGCAGCTGACAATAGCAGAGCTATCAACAACACCTTGCTTTCTGGGTGTGTGTTGAATGCTGTCTGTAAGAGCATGGGTGGTTGAGTTGCAGCGCTGCAGAATGCAGAGCACTGATGTGAACAGGATGCTGAGCTTGTTGTGTAAAGGGTGGTGATGTGTTTTCTGCGTAAGGGAGTAAAAGTATTAATGTTTTCAAATTACTTGCTGGACTTACAGTGTTGTCCTGATTAGAGCTGGGCACCAAATTACAGGCTGAATCCGCTAAGTCACACAAATTCAATGCTATTCATTCTATACCAAATTTCAGTTCCTGGCAAGTCAGTCGTATCAGCATCAGTAAGCCAGCAGACATGCTTGTTATTGGCCGTCTAAATAACATTCTGTATGCATGTTTTTAATGTCAGGGCTTCTTGATCCCTTGCAGTCAATAAGTCTACCCACTTCTACAGCCTCACGCTCATTTCTGGTTTAAGCCACGCCCACTTCCAGCTCATTTTTGTTGAGGCCACACCCACTTTCAGCTAATTTCTTTTGTTTAAGCCACCCCCCTCTTGTAGATCATTTTGTTCAAGCCACACCCACAGTAAGCTCGTTTCTAGTTTAAGCCACACCCACTTCCAGCTCTTGTTTTTTGTTTAAGCCACACCCACTTCCAGCTCATTTCTTTTGTTAAAGCCACACACACTTCCAGTTCATTTTTAAGCCACACCCACTTTCGGCTCATGTATTTTGTTTAAGCCACACCCACTTCCAGTTCATTTTTTTGTTTAAGCCACACCCACTTCCAGCTAATTTTTTCTTTAAACCACACCCACTTTCAGATTGTAATTTTAAATAGCCCTTGTCATAAATGGAAACACAAAGCAGTCACGTGTGTTGAATTATACATTGTTAAATATGTTATGTATTAATTTATTGCCTAATAAACCATTAAAAATGGCATAGAAACATCCCTAAATCTCAACACGCATTAAGAATGCGAGGATCTATGAATATACATGATTATGCAAATTGTAAATGCCCCTTTGCTACCCTTTTTCTAAATACTGCCCCTTTCCCCCACCTCCCTGCACACCGTCTCAAGCTATTTACAGACTGAACAGATTAAAATAAAGCACAGCAGAAACTAAAATAAGCCCCCACTGTGACATTAAATAATCAGAATGATTCTCTGTTACTGACATTCTGGCATCAGTCGCTCGATTTCACTCGCTCAGCTTTGAGTCCAAATCCCCAAAACTTCCCTTGGTGCAGTGTAGCGCAGTGTATGGTGCAGTGCATCATTTTTGGAGTTTCTAACTTGTTTAGTCCAATGAAGGAAACTTTGGGGCGTTTTCACACCTGAAAGTTCAGTTAAGGTTCATGTTTTTGTTACATTGAATATATTTGATCTGGTTAGTTTTGGTCTCACATTGCAATATAGCAAGCGCACAAAAGAACTTTGCATGACACACCAACGTCCAGTTATCATCATCTACATGGGATACGTCTCCCTATACTTAACAAGGTTTGGTTTGTAGAGGCGCGTCTGACACTGGCATGTTGTCAGTTCGGCGGGTAGCCTTTTCCTTTTGAATGGAGAAAATGAATGTCCCCTCTGTCTCATCCTTTCAGAAAATCGGGTATTTGTTTTGCCATTTTATGGATTTTTTTCAAGTTGACTTTTGCCTTTTTCATGGGATCAAATTACAGTTAAATATTTTGTCATTTTTACTTCTCTCCTGGTTCTTCTATCGTTTAATGGGTGACGATAACCCGCCTCAACCTCCTGTAATTGGTCTGAAAGTCTGAACCATCTAAAGTTTGATCGATGGTCCGAGGAACCTTACCAAACAAGGTAGGTGTGAAAGCACTCTTAGAAAGACTACGGCAGCCGTCTATAGGCTAACGCACTGACGACGAATTGTGCGGTGTTGCACCTCACACCAAATAGCACAGAGTGTAGCAGTACACTCTTAAAGATGGCTCTTCAAGGGCTCTTTAGTAAGGAAAATGGTTCTGTATAGAACCATGAACACTCAAAGAACCCTTTACATGATTCTTTGCATCATGAAATGGTTCTTCAGATTGATGGAGAATGTGCTGTAGATGGTTCTATATTGAACCTTTTTGAAAAAGGGTTCTTCTACTGTTACGATGTCAAACTTGTAACAATAGAACAACACTTTTGGGTGCAATGTAGAACTCAAAAAGACTTTCATAATGTAAAAGACCCTTAAATCATGCAAAGCGTTCATTAGCTGATGTGACAGATAATTAGCATTTGTCTGTTTATCTTAAAAGACTTTCGATTGACTGTCTTGTGTAAATTTCAAGCCTCATGTCAACTACTGTAGCAGTCTATGTGGTCTGGATCTGTACTTAATGCAGTAACAGAGAGATGCTGGGAAGTCACTGAAAGTGACCGGTGCACCCTTTTTGGATGATGCTTGTGATGTTAAATGAGTCTTAAAGGTTATAAGAGATTCTGCAAGATGAAACGTGGTTGAGCATGTATGTTCCACTAGTGCGAAGC